TTTTTTCATTTCCACCCCTTTTTCTCTGTGATTTCAGTAAAAACTGAGTGAGAAAAATATAATATCGAATTATTAACGAACGACAACACGCAATAAGCAGGTTTTATGATATCATATGGTGTACGTTACCATTAAGGCAAAATCTTGAATTGCTTCTCTGATCCTATTCAAGATCTTCGGCTAAATTTTAAGACGAAGCTGTGTGATGGGAATTCTAAAATTTTCGGTGTTTAGGAAACGAGGAAGCACATGAACAGATTCTTATGAGCCTGGGCCTATACAGGTGATTTATCTTTGGGGGATGAAAAGGTTAATTATTAAATTAAACGAAACTGTAGCGAAAACTTATTCAGCGGAAAGCATTCTGATCTTAAACATTTAGATCTAAGAAATGAAGATTTTATAATCACTTTAAATTAAAATAAGTATAATGTCTCGACCAAAGAACCACTCACGAGTTTGAAAAGTTCATAAAACCTTCAATTCTTCAAATCCACTATGCGCATTAGTGCATTAATATCATTTTTCCTTAACCTTAGATTTCCATTAATTAGACGTAAACAATAGCTTATTACCCAAAATTCACCTTGTAGAATCCACGTGGGTTAACTTCTTGCTAAAACTGTAGTAACAGGAAACTACACAGAAGGAGGGTTTAAACTCTTTAAAATGCACAATGCGTCAACTCGACGCTAACAAACTTCGCCTCTATTTGGGGCGGTAACTGAAAGTCAAGTAATTGGAAATTAAAAGTTGAAATGTTTAACAAGTGCTAAACTAAACTACAGGGTTCAGCGAGATCCCGAACTTTAACCCCCTTCTAAAACTAGTGGCAGCAGATAAATGCAATTAAGCCACTTGAACCAGCAATAATCAAACGTACCTACAGCAGAGATGGCAGCTAGCGCCTAACTTCCCTTCTAAAACCTCGGTATTTAAACCTTTCCTCCTCAAGGTAGAATTTGCATTCTTCCACGCGCGCTACCAAATTTAACTATTCTGGCACTGACAATTAGGAGAATGAAGGCTTATAGGAAAGTCTGAACTAAAAATTTAAATTATTAGTTAAAATAAATATAAATCCCTACAACCTTAAAAGAAGCATCGTTTACATCCCGATACGTAATGCATTACACTACACTAATATTTACATCTTAAGATTAGCCATATTTTATATATTCCATGTTTAGCGTTATGTATGCAGCCATCTAATGAACAATAAACCTTTAAATGCTTTGTGAAGATTATATGAATCATTATTATGAAAGAAACCTAAGAACAAAGAAGGCTTTCCATTAATTTTGCCGTCAGCACACTTTAAACAAAAGTTATCTCCAGGGCTGTTGAGCTGTTGTCTGAGTAAATAGGCAGTTGGTTTCCTAGTTCTGTACCCTTTTGCGAAAGAGCATTTACTTATTCCATATCTCCTATATCTTTCTCTTGATAGACCTCCTCAGTTTGCTGCAGTCGTTCAGTCCCACGAATAGGAAAACTGGAATTTTTCTCTATCGCAAGCATCACAGCTCCAATCTGGCGCCCATCGTAAATTTCTCCACAGTGTTTTCCGCTAATATTCCCTTGGTAGTTACTTCTCTTTCTTTCTGAGCAACCTTCTCCTCCTCCTCTATTTTCTCCGAGAATACATCTTGTCTTCTTCTTTTATTCTTCCTCCATGCTCTCGCTTTTCTTTAATAGCATTGCTCAGATTTCTTCCGTCTGCTTATTCTCTTTCGAGGAGGCTGGCTTCGTATTTTTCTTGCGTTTTATTTTTACACTGGTGGGTAAAAGGCATCTTTTTCACAAGGTTGTATTTCCAGTGTTAAGCTGTGGCAATCCAATAAAGTGTTCCTTTAAGCTTATTTATAGATCTATGTATGTAGTTTTCTTGTTGAGGAAAGACAAAAGTAAGTGTAAACCTTCCAAGCCTTTTACATAAATACTAAAATATTCTTTTATAGTTTTTGTATGCGCTAAGCTGGGCTTAAAAAATGGATTTTTCTTTGTTAAATAAAGAATGCTGGGATTTACGAAACTGGATTTTTTTCATTCGTAATTATTTATTTTAAGACGCATGTATCAACATCCTTTTAACAATGCAAAAACTAAATTAAATAAATTTTTAAAGTTTTTATTTGTTATATTTTGCTGTTTTTTTAATTTAAATAATGACACACATTCATCAGTAGTATTAATTACTGACTGTTTAATAATTTCAGCGCAACTTATTTAAGTAACCAGAGGGTAACTTTAATCTGTTTTAATTAGAGGAAATTCGCACCACCTAGCCGCCCAAGATGTTTTTAGCATTAAAATAACTGCGATTTTGTTACTCCTCGAAAGAGGCACCTTCTTTGCACTTAATGTATAAATCCAAACACAAAATTTCGCCTCAGAAGCTAATGGACATGAAGATCAGAGAAGGTCTAGAAGTTCCCCTTGACAAGTTTTATCATTGCGCGAAGCATTAGAACCTTAGTTTTTCTTTTTACATTCTATACACTGTCACATATAGTCAACTCTCAGTGTGCTGCTATCGGTGATGCATCACGACAGGGGCAATATTCATTGTCTCTTTGATTTAAGAGAAAAGAATGTGATAATGTTGTTATAAACAGAAACGCTCTTTTTATCCACATATATAGCTTTACTTTTATTTATGTATGATTAAGTTTTATTTAATTAAAGCCTACTATCATTGTTAACACACTCTTTTTCAAAAAATCGAAGCACCAAGAAGGACTTTTGCGATCATGACGAAATTTGGTATGCAAACACATCTTGATCGAACATGCAAATGATCAAAGTTTCAACGCAATGAACAGGAATTGCGATCATAGCGCGCATTTCTAGTGCGCAATTCGCAAAGTATAAAACCAGTAACAGAGGCGAAAAAAAATTTTTTTTTTTTTCTGCCATTGTAATTTAGTAAAGAAACTAAAGATGCCGTTACGACGATATCGAAGACCTCACACTCAACTAAACGACTTCGCATGTGGTCGCATTGTAGAGTTGCGCGAAGATGGGTGGTCATACCAAGCAATAGGCCGCCACCTGCAGCATACAGACACTGCTGTGCAAACATATTGGCAGCAATGGTTGCTACAAGGAAATTGCCGACGAAATGAAGGCTCTAGAAGACCAAGGATCACGAATGCGAGGCTAGATAGGATGACTGTTCGTGAGGTGAACCGTCCCAACGGTATCATTGTCGACTATCCAACGCACTACAGCCCCGTCTATACCTCCCGTGGTAGGTTCATCATCTTACGGCGCTTGTCTGAGGTGGGGTTATTCTCACAGAGGCCTTTAAGATGTTTGCCTTTGACCGCACCACATCGGCGGAATCGACTGGAGTGGTGTCGCACCCGATCATCATGGCTGCCATCAGACTGGCATCTTATAGTGCTCAATGATGAATCCCGCTTCACTCTTGAAGCAGATGACCACCGTGTTCGTGTCTGAAGAGGACGGGGCCAGCGGTTCCAATCAGCCTTTGTTTTAAAATCCATACAGCCATAACTCCTGGTGTGATGGTGTGGGGCGCTATTTTTTATGACAGCAGGTCATCTTTAGTCATCCTCCGCACATCTTTAACAGCTCGAAGATATGTTGATACAATCCTGCAGCCGGTTGCATTAGCCTTCATGGCACGTCATCCTGTGACCATTTTCCAACAAGATAATGCCAGTCCACATACCACTCACATATCTCTGGGCTGTCTCCTTGCGGTTGATACTCTTCCATGGGCACTAAGTTCACCAGACCTTTCACCAATCGAGCATGTCTGAGGCATACTATGCCCACCAAATTCGGAAATCAAAAAATATCGCAGATCTGGAGCGATCACTATCACTCCTTGCCTCGACAAATTCAAGCATGCATTGCCGCCAGGGACGGTTCGACCAACTACTAACTTGAACACTCAATGGGTGATTGTGAGCCGTGAACAGGTATAATAACCCTGATTTTTTAATCATTTTATTATCTCTGTATGAGCTATACACATATTCAATTTCATCAAAAACAACCACTTCTTTCATGGTGCTTCGATTTTTTTGCAAAAGAGTGTATTTATAATAACCACTTTCATAATTACTCTCACTTACATACCGAAGGATTAAGGGGAAAATGATGAAATCTTAAATAATTGCAACTTAGAATTCAAGTTATTTAAAAAATATAGTTTAAATTGCTGAAAATAATTAAGGCTTTTATTAATTATGCCTATTTAGTCTAAAGGGAAAGAAATTGTATTATCTTCTGGTTTTCAAGAAATGATAAAATATTTAAACTTTAGAAAAAATACAAGGAATACAATATTTTAAAAAAGAAGAAAAATATATTAATTGTTAAGCTTATTTTTATGCATAAATCAATGTGTAACACAAGGACATAATAACGACTTTTTCTCAACTGTTGCAAAAAGGTGGAATTCTGCGCACATTTAAGACGTTAAGATGTCATGATACGATGCTTTCACAACCAAATTATAACCTGAGAAAAACGCAATAATAGCGTCTGTTCGACTAAAAACCTCATCTGCGAAGACGTAATAAAGACATCTTTGCAACGGTCAGACCAGTCTTTTAACCTGCAACCTTACGGCAAATGCAGGGATTAATGGAACTATTTCCGATTACAAAACCAATATCAGTATCTAATTACAAAATCAATATCTTTGCAACGGTAGGAAAACAGTGTTGTTTCGCGGATATCTGGATATCTGGAGTTCTTGAAGACGACATATTGCAACCTTTTTGCAACATGACCTTCGACGAGTTTGCAACGTCATTACGACGTTGCCATGCTACTTGGGAGTTTGGTCGATAGCTTAAAAGATTAAAAAAATATAAAACAGCTGTTGCTAAATTAAATGCGTAATTCAAAAGTTTTAATTGCTAATAATAATGCAGCAATATTAAACTCTCACAAAGTTAAACAGAACTAGTTCAAAGCATTACTTTAAGAGTTTTATATTTTTTCTTCTGTTTTTATTCTAGCAAGTTTAAGACACAGCAAGATGAAAAAGGATTTATGAAAGATGATGAACTTGACAATGAATATTATGGTGGCCTACAGGAAGACAGAAGATCAGCCATTGACAAATGTATGGACAAACACTGTTATTGGCTAAGCAGCATGCCCAAGCGTTATGTCATCTCAGTCCTCAGTTCTGTAGGATTCCTCATCAGTTTCGGCATTCGATGCAATTTGGGCGTTGCCATTGTAGCTATGGTTACAGTTACAAACGCAACAAATGACGTAAGTCTGTTTTCTTCCTGTTGTTTAATTTCATTTTCATTACATTTTAAGTGACAAAGTTTTCTAAATAGTACGTCTGATTATATGACGTAATTTAAGAATTGCTATTTGCAATGAAGATTCCCAGAAACACTTTTTATATAAAGCTTTTTTAGCTGTACAAATTAATGCACGTTTTATTGAATGTGATAATCTCAAAAGAATGTTTGCAAACCTCTAAAAGTTTTGGTATATTTTGTGGCAAAATTCTGGATTACAAATCTTATATATATATATTATTATCTATCAATTAAGTTCCCAACTTTCCTTTTAATTTTATTAATTATATATATGTGTGTGAATGATCTGCTCGTCTTTCATAGAAATCCAAATGTTTTCTTTGTCTCTTTGCTATTCATAATAATAATTTAATAATTATAACGAAATATATCAAAATTACAGACAACACAGTATATCTTATTGCTATAAGTTATATTATTATAAGTTATATAAGCAGTATATAATTATCCAAAAGGGAAAAATTCAAAATTATGCATTTACATGATAACAAACTAGAACTTTTCCGGATTCGAAGAAACCGAAAATCCAGTCAGTTGCTTATTTAATAAAATCAGTTTACTCGCAAAAGTAGTTAAAACAAATAGGCAATTATGGAGAATACTCTTGCAGTGTTTATCCCAAAATATAACAGAAAATCTGCCTTTATAATGAACTGATTGAAATGCATTGAACTGCATGGAAATTGTTAATGGTGTTCATACACATTATTTTCTAGTTACTAAAAGCCAATCTTTCACCAGCCATTCACTACATAACAAATGCCCACAAGCTCCTCACTACAGAATTAACACCCGAATAGCCAAATGTAACAGATATTTGGTATCAGTGCTTGTTGTAATGAAATTATACTTTGATATTACCATTTGAATAACTGACACACTCTTCTGGATTTCGGTCAATATTTTGTTTAGCTTCAATGTAATCTGAAGTGGAAAAGCAGAGTTATCTGCATCAAAATGACATTTTTCATAGGTAAAAATACATTGCTAAAGTAAAAGTGCATTGCATCAAAACGATCATTTGCATAGGTAAAGTACCTTGTACACTGTATAAGACTGGAAAAATATTTCCCATAGCGTTATAAATTGTGTCTATCTGGATGTCTTCTGAATTTTATTTCAATAAATTTTTTTTCAATAAAAATGACAGATTTTCCTAATCTCAAGCCAAGTTCTGATTGAAATGTGTGAGCTCCTTTCCACAGTTCTGCAGTACAATGTATAGCTCAGAACATAGACAGTATTCAAGTTTTGCCCAAAAAGTACTTGTACTTTTTTAATTTCATTTTATACAGAGAAAAGATAAAATATTTTTTAAACTTGAATCTCTATGAAGAAAATTAAGTTTTTCAATATTTTGAAATCTTGATAATCAATAGGTATTTTCCTAAAGAATTGTTAAAGAACCAGTTTATCCACTCAATTGATATTTAATGCAGAGGTAGTTAAATTTAGTGCATAAAAATAAATCCATTTCGTCTCCATAGGTCATACAGTATTTTTTGCATTTTCAGTATTAAAGATTAAAAGCTAGTCCCGCGGACAGTATAGTGGTTAGGAGACCCGACTGTGATACCATAGGGCCCGGTCTCGAATCACGGAGAAGGCATGGTTGTAACTGTTCGTGCTTTCTTTCAATAGAAGGCAAATGTGGCTCACCTATTAGATGTCTCCATACTGAAGTGGTCCCCATTGCTGGCCTTAGTTGTGGCCAACCCGAAATCGGCTGACGGCCCGCTATTGGGGCGATTAAAAGTTAGAAAAACGGACAGACTTTATTTCAAAATAACAGTTGCATTTGATTCAAACATTTCTTATAAACAAATATGCAGATAGAAATATGCCACAAACAAACTTTAAAAGATTTTGCAGTGCATTTGCAGTAACGTGTTTATGTGCTTAAATTATAAGGCTTAAAATATTATAGACATTAATGAGAAGATTGTGAATGTTTATGACAATAATGAAGTCAATCTTAAATAAAGTTGTTTATATTTTCAATAACTCCTAAAGATGGTTATGAATTAATAGGTCTCTTTGCTTCAGTTTCATTATCGTCATAATGCATTTGTTCGTGTATGTATTTTCAACAATCAATTTACAAAACTTCTTGCTGAAGATATTTCCAAACCATAAAATGCAATTCCGTTCTTAAAAATCTCTCAATCTGAAATATTTTTTTCTTGTGGGATTTCTTTCTATACATCACATTTTAACCTTTGCCTAGATTTTTAGTAGTTCATTAAGAACAGTAGTGCGCTCGTAACAAACATCAGGAAAAAACTATAACATTTATACAAGAAATCAAGACCCCCATGATAAATACACTGCTCAAAACAATTAGGGGATATTATTATTTTGAATATAAACTGGGGATAAGAAAATGTTGTGGTGATGATTAATATATGAGGTGTAGGTGTTGTAAGATATGAGAAAAAGAAAGAAGAAACGAACAAGGCATAATTAAATTTTATTGACGGTATTTGTTAGTAAGCAACAAATGCACAATTTGTTCATATTATACAAATAAACAAAAAATGGGATTTCTTTAATACAAATGATTTTCAATAAACGGTATGGTTTCTTCTGAACGAAAGTAATGCCGCACACCTATGAATCATGGAATGAATCAGGTTATCAATGAGGGACTGGAGTATTCTCTACTACTCCTGTAGAAGAGAGCTTTTAAACTGCTGAATTATTTCTGGGAGGGTTAAAACGCGACTAGCAATCCTTCTCCCTAGAAAGTCACAAACATGTTCTATTCCGTTCACATCTGGGGAACATACTGGCCAATTCATTCGAAGGATTTTTTAAGTGGACAAATTCCAGCTAGTGGACAAAAATTGTCCATTAGCTGAGCACACGATGTGGCTTGGTGTTATCATCCATGAGAATGAATCAATTTCCAATTGTTGCAACGTAAAGAACCTTAGTATGTCTGAGGATCACATCCCTATATCACTGGTCCGCTAGTGCTCCATTCCTGATAATGGCAGGCCATTGATATAAATACCGGCCCAGACTATCAGGAGTATTTCAAGTACCATGTTCTCTATGATGAGAATCCGCCTGCTGTCAGGTTGTACACTAAAGCGAGACTAGTTCGGAAAGAGCATGTTGCTTGTCTCATCTCGTCCGCATTTGAGATGCTCCTGTGCCCACCTTCTGCTGGCAGCATGATGTTCCAGTGTCAATTGGCTTGCCGTTAAGACCGATGGCGCTCCAGACTACCGATGCAACTAAGCTATCTTGCTGAGACATAGTATTCACCGTTGCAAAATATTCAAATCGTTTCAATTGTTTTTAATCTCCTCCTACAGAAGGAATGATGCAGGTTGTTTTTCACTTCCTATCTAAAACGCATAATTTTCAATGCTAGAAACACAATTTGCATATTCTCGACTTTGTAGACGTTTGTAGAGTCATTATGCTTTTTTAACAAGAGACATGAATAATTTGCAGTGCTGTCGCCGGGACTCGAACCCTAGACCTCTCAAATACTCGTCTAGTAGGCATCCAATTACACCACGAAGGCATGCGGAGAGTAGAGAGAAAATACCTTATATACTCTCCCTTTTAAAGGGCGACTGAGAAATCAGGCTGCCCACTCGCCAGATCCTGGTGGTGATGAATTACTATCCAGCATGTTTTAGTTCGAGCGCCAATTTAGAGTCATTAGAACATTTGATACTAGAGAGCGCGAAAAATATGCAGTGCTTTCTCCGGGACTCGAACTTTGACCTCGCGAATAAGCATCGAGTTTTACCACCAATTACACCACGATGGCGAAAGGAGAAAGAGAATACATTATACGTTATAATTTTCCTTTTAAACCTTTTCTATTTCATTTTTGTTAAAAATATTGTCGATTATATGGTTATTTTATATCGCACTTATAATATCCCCTAATTGTTTTGAGCCGTGTAGTAGTAGTGGAGTAGCAGTAACTGATTTCCTTACGATTGCCGCCAGTATTATTCTGCCAACTGTCATTATGTTCGATACTTCTGATTTAAAATATCCCACAGCTGATCACATGATATGAGCACTGTTATTTATAATAAAAGTTTGCTTTGTGAACATGTTTTATGGCATTTTCCATTCTGAATTAAATCTTTTATATTATCAATAACAGTGGAACGTATTTAAGATATACATGAATTTTTAAAAAAAAGAGCTTATGAAGCAAAACGTGGAAGCTGCATCAACAAGTAATTATGTTAATCCAAATAGCTCATTTTGTATCTTAAAAAGGCAAATATAAATAAATATAAGTAAGATGAATGCTTTCTAAGAAAACCTGGTTCCTATTCGTGTTTCACATGATTCCCCCCAAACACGAACCCTATACATTATTCACTAGCCTGCTGATGGACTGAGAAGAAATTGCTTAACTCAGATACTCATCAGCAGTTTCAAAGACACAGTATGCGTCATTTCTTGAGCGGACAGTAAGAAAGAATCAAAGGAAACTGCAGTTTCTTCCCTTATGTCATTACTTTATAGTTTTTACGCATATAAATTCCATTTTCTAAATAATTTCGAAACCTGACATAATTTATCAGATTTGTTTTAGAAATAAAAATAAGGATACATTTGCTGCAATCTAAGATAAGTTATTGATCAAAATGCGTCTGGAGGAACAAAATGGTGCCATGTCGTCGAGACGTTATGTTGGAACTTAACTGTCATAAAGGCCTAAGAAAAATCTCTTGTCGGCGCATGCGCATCAATCCATTCATCTCTGACGATTCCAAGGTTCATTTCTTAATGCTATAAGGATGGCGTCTCCTATGCAGGGATTCAGAAGATGATTCTTACTATTTTATTACTAATTCTTAAACGTAAGGTAACAATATTTATGTACTTTCTAAATTGCAATTTGAAACTCCCAAAAATATAAATATCGCAAGTATTTTATTCCGAAAATAGAGTTAT